CCGAAAGTTAGAAAGACAGTCTCCTTCTCAGTAGCCGCCCCAGGAGGGCCTCGGCTGCCCATGAGGGCTTCCTCTGTCCGGGAGACCCAGCACGGCGAACAGCCCTTCCCTGAGCCTCACGATCCTCGGCGTCACAGGCGCTGGGGGGTTATTGCGCAGCCGGTCGTGAGACAGACAATTCAGTTTGGGGGGGATTCTACTTCTGGGCAGCCTGGTCCGGCGCAGCGTCCTGCGACGCAAGTAGGAGTACCACCAGCACCAGCAGGAGTAGCACCAGTACCACCAAGAGGACCAAAAGAAGCAGCACCAGGAGTAGCACCACCAGGACCATCACCAAGAGTAGCACCAAGACCAGCAGCACCAGGAGTTGCACCAGGAGTCGCACCAGGAGTTGCACCAGGAGTCGCACCAGGAGTTGCACCAGGAGTCGCACCAGGAGCAGCACTAGGAGTAGCACCAGGAGCAGCATCACGAGCAGCACCAGGAGTAGCACCAAGAGCAGCACTAGGAGCTCGACCAGGAGTAGCACCAGGAGTAGCACCAGGAGTAGCACCAGGTATAGCAGCGGGAGCAGTAGCAGCACGAGGATCAGCAGCACCAGGACCGGCTCTGCCTCAGCTCCCTCCTAAGCGTAGTGTGAGGAGAACGGTGGTGGGAGGGGAGGAGGAGGTGCAGTCAAGCATGGAGAGTTTGCCTGGTGCAGGAGCACCAACAACATCAGCAAAAGCCGGTGCTCCTCCGATCCCGCTTAGGGCTACTACGCAGAAGGCAAGAGAAGAGGGGCAGTCAAGCGTGGAGAGTTTGCCTGGTGCAGCAGCACCAAGAAGAGATGCTACTGCTGAGGGTGCTGCTTCGGGTGCTGCTGCAAAAGATGACGTTCCAACTAGGGCATATTCTCCGGAGGGCGTGGCCAGCTTGAATCTCGCCATGCAGCCGGTAATTGCAAAACTGTCGGACAGCTGGTATTCCGTGCTGGGGGCGCTCCCTGGGACATCACCAGAGCCGAACTGGGATGTTGCAGATGCGGTGCTGCGGCAAGCAGCAATAGATGTATGGGAAGCACAAAGTGTTACTTTGCATCGGGCTTTGAGCAAGGATACGGTATCTGTTTTCCAGGATACTCTCAAGAAATGCAAGGATGGCGTCCAAGCCCTGCTAGAGGCCATAGAACCACACTGGATGAGAAGAATCCAAGTTGACTCAGAAAGACTTAAGAAAAAGGCCGCTGCTCTGCAACAACAAATGGAGACCCCGCCCCCCGCGGTGGCTCCTGACGCAGATTCGCTGCTCTTTTCGCTGACACAGCTGAACATGGAAGTCAACAGAGTAAGCGGACATCTCCAACATTTCAAAGACGTTGTGCAAGTGGCTTCACGCGTCCCGCCTCGAGTTGGCGCAGAGATTTCTGCCCTCAGGGATCAGGCGAACGATGCTATCGAAGGTATCCGAAAAGCTGGAGACAGTTGCACCTACCGCTGGATTGGCTGGATTCAAAGGGGGTGGAAGGATTTTGATGATCTTGCAGGAGCGAGCAAGCACTCGGATGAGCTGGATACAAAGCGCAGAGCGGACTTCACGTCTGTCATCGATCGCACACTAGAGGCAGCGCAAAGCCTCCAGCAAACCTTTGGCGATTACGCCGCTCTTCAAGTGCTGTTTCAACTTGTGGAAGAAGGCAGAAAAAGCTTAGCTGGAGCAGACAAGCAGGAGGAGGCGGGGGAGGAGCAGCAGTAGCAGGAAGGGGGGGACCGCCAGCAGCAGGAGGGGAAGGGGGAACAGCCGCAGGAGCAGGGCACGTAGATGCGCCCTGTGGCAGCCGCAGAAGCCAGACTACGGATAAAAGCATGCTAAGAGAAACCAACCACAGCCGAAGTGTTGAATTGGATTCCCGGTTCGAAAGAGAGGACTGAAAGAGAGGGAAGGCGAGATGTGATGATGAAAGAACGCCGGCAAAGCCCGGGGAGTTGAGGAGACACAGCGAACTTTGAACATACAAAGGCAAAATAAATACACTTGGGCATTGAAAGGGTTAATGACTCGTCCACTTTTTTTTTTGCTTGTCGCCTTATTGTACTGTGTATGGGTGCATGTGTTTGTGTTTTATGCATGCGCTTGCTTAGAACTGCATATGTGACGCTCCTGCCACCGCTTGCTGCTCTCAGCGCGAGCTGTGGGATGCGAAAGGAAATTGCAGGGCGAGCAAAGCAGTCAAATACAATACGACAAGTGAATTCATGTCGAACGTGCGGCTGACGTGCGGTTGTTCACTGCAGCGTGACACGCGGAAGTCCAGTAAAACACATCGGCAAGAAAATCTGGCAAACGAATATAAAATGTACACACAAATAAAAGCAGCGTGGTATTATGTATGTATGTGTGTGTGTGTGATTGTATGTATGTATGTATGCCTGTGTGCGTGTGTGTGTGTGTTCTCTTCCGTGTTTCCGTTCGGATACTGGTGCGCATCTTTGTTTATTCCGCCAGTAAATTCATGTAGATGTATTCAAGTGCGTTTATGTGAATGGCGAGTAGCACTGGATCCGTTTTTATGCTCAACATAGTCCGGAACAACT